GAATTAATCGATAATGAGATGACAAAATTATAGAAGTCATACTGATTAACGTCTCGCTACAAAAATTTTTTTAATTTCTCTACTACGCTGAAGTGCGTTTTGTGTCGTTCTAATGCTAAACTCAGTTAATAATTCTTCTATCCAACTGTGGTCAACTGCAAGTATTAATTCTTACAATTAAAAATTTTGCGTTCAAATTTTCGTCCAAACTTGTTCAAGCAAAAAATGAGTATTAATGAGAATATTTAAAATTTTACATATAAAAACAAAAAAAAAATATAAGCAGCATAACAATGAATAGGTCAGCCTTTTTATATTGTTTAAAATTTTGTTAACATCATATAAGTGTTTTGACTTTAGGCACCCGTCAAAATATATTTTTTAGCAATTTAACTGTTTAATTACATATTTGTAAATTCTCTGCATACAAAATCGCAAATGAGCAAGAAAAATGTCTTAATGTTAATTTCATACATTCTAATTAAATAAGAGAGTAAAAGAGATTACTTTATATGAGGTCAAAAGATTAATTACATATGTACGAGTACACACTTATATTTAAGGCTGATAAATTTCAATTAATTTTATAATATTAAATTTTTTAACAAATTATTTAGTTACACATTAACATTTAAAGGGTGAAAAACATATAGTTAAATTTAAGTAATTACGTATAACAGTTTCGTTTTTCAATATACTAATATGTTTAATTGTACAAGTTTTACGCTAATAGCGGGATTTTTTTATTTGATCGTGATTTCTAATAAAATTTTTGTATATTCAACAACAACAACAAATATAGATGACCTTCATCGTCAAGATCTAATCAATTATATAAATGAAATTAAATCTAATCTTGATATAACAGTTGATCCATGTAATAATTTCTTAGAATATGCATGTGGTAATGTAAAACCACAAAAAAATCCATTAAGATTATGGGATATGAGTACAATTTTAACAAAATATTTTAATGAAACTTATGAAAATGAAAATAAAGCAGTAAAATTTGTACGTGATATGCATATTAGTTGTTATGGAAATAATAAAAATCCAATAGATCCTTTAATTAAAATTAAAAATATTTTTGAACAAATCGATGTATTAAAACAATTTAAATCATTTCCAATTGAAATCAACCAATCTTCAGATTTAAATAATAAACATGTTGCTGAATTAGAATCAAATTTAATTGCAATGGGTCTTGGTGCATTAATACAAATAAATCCTGATCTAGAAAATTTAATTTTATTAGCACCAAGTAATCCATCAGAAATTCGTAAATCAATATCTTTTTTAGTTTCATTATTAAAAAATTACAATATTTCTGAAGAATATCATCAAGAAAATGTTCAAGAAATTCAAGATGTTATAAATTTTTTAAATGATTATAAAAATTTATATAATAAACCAATTGAAGAATTTAAACGAGATGATACAAATGATACATGGTCATTATTGGAAGTCAAAAATATTCTATTATTTAAGAACATTAATTGGAATACATTATCAGAAATTCTTACAAAAATTTGGAATTTAAATGATACAAATAAACAATATAAATTTAAAGTTGTTGGTACTAAATTTTTTAAAAATTTAATAAAATTAATTGATAGAACAGATATTAAAACATTAATAAATTTTCAAATATCAAAATATTTAGAAATATTCATTGATTATAATATGGAATGTAGAATGGTAAGCAGATTTGCTAAATATGTTTTATTAAAACGAATTTGGAATGATATTTTATCATCAAAAGAGCGTAGTGTTGAAAGATATACAAAATTTGTAAATGAATTTGAGAATTCTATAAATATAACAATGGAAAATATAGCAAATAATCGTGATATTATTACTATAAACAATATAAAACGTATACAAATGGTCTTACAAAATTATACAATTATATTAAATAATAATAGTATAATTAATGAAATTTTAGAAAATTATGAAGAAGGAAAATTTTATAAAAGTTCAATTGTATATCAACAAAATTATGTAAAAGCAATGCTTAATTATAATTCTGGTATAGATGAAATAACTTTTGATTTTATAGATGATACTTATGATAATTCTATTCAATTACATAGTAAAAATAAACCATATTTATATTATTATAATGTATTAAATTTTAAATTATGGTATTCATATTTTGGAATGTATCAATATCATTCTAATAATTCAGAACATAAATTATATAAATGTTTAAGACAATTTAAAGGTCAACCATCTCATACATTTATTACAACATATACAACAATTAAAAGGATATTAAGTGATTATTATACAAAAGATTTAATAAAGGATGAATTAAAAATAGCAAATGAATTAATTGATATAAGAAAATTATTTTTTATATCAATAATACAGGATTTTTGTAAAGAATCAAAGAAGGAATATGATGTTTATGAAGTTCGTGCATTTTCACATATTAAAGAATTTACTGATGCTTTTCAATGTCCTCAATATACTGATACAACAGATGTAAATAGAGATACAAAGAATGTTAAATGTGATTTTCAAACATGTCCAAGTGATTATGAATATTTAAAAGAATTTTTACCATATACAATTAATCAATGTTAATTTTAATTGCAAAAAAAATACCAGATGTTAATAAATATAATTGAAATTTATAATTTTGTTTTTGGTTTAATTGAACTTAAAGTTCAACTTAAAAGATTTTAAGGGATTTAAATAATAGAATTGCAATTGATTTATTAATAAATCATTCTAAAATCTCTGGCAAATATACAATTTTTAGTTTTACAACTGTTTGATTGCTATAGTTTTATAATCAAACGGGCACATATGCAACTGTATAATCGAATTAAATTAAGCAATCAAGCAGTTTGTAAAAATATTTATAAACTGACTGCAACTTAGTAATTTCAAATAGTTTAGTAACTTAAATATAGGTGAAATTAATTTGTAATCAAAACCAGAACCTTAAATCAATTCCAAAAAAAATATTTTTATATTCTAAACCTAAAAATACTAAATACTAAATAAAACTGAAAATTTGAATTTATAATAGAAATCTCAAAAAATATTTTATAAATATTTGTTATTTACAAATAATATTGAAGATTAACTTATTGCAGATCATGAACATGACCTCATTTTTTAATCACTGTTTTTGAGTGATTAAAAATCATAATTTTTAATAAAAAAATTTAAATGATAACTATTTTCATATTTTAACTCAATTCCAAAAAATATGAGTTAAAAAAAAATAATATTGAGTGACATTTTGAACGTCATATTAGTCATAATCTTTTTGATTAATTAGAAATTTTATTACAATAATTTTGTAAATATTAATCATAAAATTTTAACGCTTACTTTTGGTTTGAAATCGTAAAAACATTATTTAGGAAGTGCACACAGATTTTATTTGTTATTGTTGCAAACACACATTTCATATGATTAAAGTAGACAAGAGTTTTATAATTTCATATTTATATAGTTTTGAGCTTTTAAAGATTAATTATAATATGATAAAATTTTTCGGGCAAAATATAAGTGAAATTTGGAAAACAAAATTTTTCAGTAATATTTTAAAGTTTATTAAGTGAACAACAAAATAAAAATAAAAATCAAATATAATTTAAAATAATTATTGAAGTTAATATGTTTGATACAAATTTTTCATTTATCATCATACTATTTTGTATGATTACGATTCCAAATAAAATTTTAACATATTCGTCAGAAAATATCGATGAAATACATCGACAAGATGTTATCGATTATATAAATGAAATAAAATCAAATATCGATGTTAATATTAATCCATGTGATAACTTCTTAGAATATGCATGCGGTAATATAAAAACAGAAAAACATCCATTATTATTATACGATGCTAATATAATTATACAAAAATATTTTAATGGCACAGAAGAAAATAATAGAGCAGATCAATTAGTTCGTGATTTATATTTTAATTGTAATGAAGAATCTAATGAAAATTCAAAAAGAAATCGATCAATAATTATAAAAAAAATTTTTGAACAAATTGATATTTTAAAAAAATATGAAAAATTTCCACTTATAAATAAAAAAAAATTTAATTTAAATAATCAACATATTTCTGAATTAGAAGCAAATTTACTTGGAATGGGTATTGCAAATATAATAAGTTTTTATCCATATCATAATAATATTATATTATTGAGTCCAGCTGATCCATCAATAATTTCAAAATTAAGAGCAGAATTAAATTTTTGGAGAAGTACTGATGAAGATGAAGAAGATATTGAAACAATACAAAATATTATAAAATTTTTAAATAAGTATATAAATTTATTTGATAGATCAATTGAGGAATTAAAACAAAATGATTTAAATGTTACATATACATTAAATGAATTAAAAAATATTTTACCATTTAAAAATCTTAATTGGAATACAATAAATGAAATTTTAACAAAAATTTGGAATTTAAATGATCAATATAAATTTCAAATTATTGGTATGAATTGCTTTAAAAATTTAATTAATTTAGTTGATACAACTGATATTGAAACATTAATAAATGTTGAAATTTTTAAATATATTGCTGTATTTAGTAATGATATTGAATGTAGAATGTTTAAAAAATTAGCTAAATATATTTTATTAAAGAAAATATGGGATAAAGATTTATTTTCTAGTAATCGTACAATTGAAAGATATTTAAAATTTTTAAATGATTATGAAAATTCTTTAAATGAAACAATGAAACAAATACCAAGCACTTCTGATATTTATAATTTTGAAAAATTTAAAAGAATTCAATTTATTTTAGAAAATTATAAATTTTTATTATATAATAATGAATTTGATGAAATTTTAGAAAACTATAATGAAAATGGAAAATATTATAAAATTTTAATGTTAATTGAACAAAATATTGAAAAAATTGTAATTGATTATAAATCTGGTGGTAATAATTTATCAATATTAAATTCAATAATGGGTAATTATAGAAATGATTATATTGAATTATATAGTAAAAATAAACCATATTTATATTATTATAATGTATTAAATTTTAAATTATTATATGAATATTTTCAAAATTATCAATATTATAATAATCAATTTAATGATGAATATCATATTTGTTTAAATAAATTTAATTGGATTCATTCTTTTAATTTTATACCACATAAAACATATGTAAATACATATACAATAATTAAAAAAATATTAAATGATTATAATACAAAAGATTTATTAAAAAATGAAATTGAAATTGCAAATGAATTAATCGATATTAGAAAATTATTTTTTATATCAATAACACAGGATTTTTGTAAGGAATCAAAGAAGGAATATGATGTTTATGAATCTCGTGTATTTCAACATATGAAAGAATTTACTGATGCTTTTCAATGTCCTCCTTCAACAACAAAAAATAAAATTTCAAAGAATGTTAAATGTGATTTTAAAACATGTCCAAAAGATTATGAATATTTAAAAGAATTTTTACCATATACAGTTAATAAATGTTAATTTGTTTTTTAGTTTTTTAATGGTTCTGACAGTGGACATTTTTATAGTCTTGCAATTACAGTTTGATAACAAATTAATTGTGCTCACACTTAAACTAAATCATTTGATATTATTTAATTGCAATCAGTTTGTTAAAAATTAAAAGTTGTTTAATTACTTAGTTGCATGCGATCATACAGTTGCATGCAAAACTAGTATTTGGATGTCTGTTAGAGCTCTAAGGTGTATATTATGTATCTTATTTCAATTTTGTACAACTAAAATTGCATTACATACACATTAATAAATAATTATTATATAACAAACATAAAAACATGTTGCTTTTTGTTTTAATATTTTCAGATCACAAATTATGATAGTACATGAATGTGCCGATGAATATAGGATGTTGTGTGCCGTTAATACTAACTTTATAGTTATATTGATTTTAGTGTTTTAGGAAGGATGGCTTTCTATGAATATATTATTTATTTTTCCGCAAAACTTAATCCAAAAAATTTTTGTGTCGTTGATTATACTAATAAACTCTAACCTTTGCTTGTTCTAAGCCACTTCCATTTCCTTTCTTATCAAATGATGATGATTTTCCTAGGCAGTCGAGGTAGCCACATTTTGTGCGTCTAAATTATGATTATTTTGGATCTTTCGTGCAACATTAATTTGCATAATAATTGATGTTTTTGATCAGGAGAGAATTTCTACAAGATTTAAAATAATTTCAATTAAATTTGATCATGTTGCATTTGGCACAATTACTAAGCCAATTTGCTTAATTTACAACATCTTACCTATTTCATAAAAACGATTAGTGTTAAAATTTTTAAGAGTTTTACGGCTCAAATTCATTATGATGTTTCTGCAGTTCAGTTATCCAGGGTTCGCAGTTTACAACTTCAGTTTTGAATCTTAAAATAAAAATAAAATAATTAATTATTAATTTTGGTGTATTTTTTAAGTCGTCTCATTGTAGAGTTGTAGTTTTTTAATGATCCGAAAAAGAATTTCTTGACAATATATTTTTTCGATAGTTTAGGCATTATTTGATCTTTAAAAGGAATTCCAAACATAATAATAACTAGGAATGAGTTACAAATTTTTTGGTTCATTTACTCAAAAATTAATTTTTCCCATGTTTTTTAATTAATTTTCTAATATTTTTAATATTAATGTACGTAATTTATTGTGAAGCAAAATTTTGAGAACCAAAAATCATTGGGAGGGCTAAATCTGGTTTGAACAAATAATAACAAATTAAACAAGTACATACAAACAAGTAAAACAAATAAGCAAATTTATGAATTTTTTGACAACTTAAATAATATAATTTTCTTCTTTTTTTTAATAAAAATAAAAAAATGTCCTTCATAATAAAATTGATATCCTTTTTATGTACATACATATATCGTAAATAGATAATCTCCGTTTTTGGTTAATTTAATTTTTTATTAGGCATATAAGATAAATCACTAATACACACACATATATATTTATCTATTAAACTTACATTATGTGTTTAATATTCGTAAAAATAAAAAATACCGAGAAAAAATAGAATTGATCATGTCGACTCTGTGATATCCCTAAGAACTTCTTATTGTATAGGCGAACAAATATACCACAACTGACTGTGGCACAGGTTAGAACTTTAATTACTTTGGTTTTATTTTAGTAGATATAGCCAAATAAATTTTGAAATCAAAGGGTAGTTATCCGAATCATTGTCTCGTTCACATCGAATTTAAATATGGTTCCGAAATCTACTATTAATAAATCATTTGTTAACTTAGCTTAAGTAGTTTTTGAGATATCGTTGGGACGGACGGACAGGAGGACAAATGTGGTTAAACTGACTCAAAATTCGACACTGATTAAAACAATTTTACGTCTATATCTCCGACCATTATTTCTTAGCGTTACAAACGGTAAGGCAAATTTATGATACCCTTCGAACTTATGTTGGTACGGGTACGGTAAATGTAAAATGAAACTATAGCTGAAACGTATAGCTATATTAAATGTTCGCATACGAAATGGAAAATCCATTTTTGATTGAAAAAAAAAGCGCCGCCATTAAAATGGTCTCCCGTTTTGTTTTTTTACAATGCATAAAAAATATTGTGTTTCCTTTTAATATTGAACATAAAAATTATGTGGAGAAGAATAAATTTTTTTTTATAAATTTCAAGTCATCACAAAAAAATTTTTGTATTTTCGCTATTTAATCCTTCATACCCTCATTTATGATGAGAATATCCTTTTTTTTAACAGTATTTATTAATACACATATTAAGTAAGTATGATAACACGTGTGTATATATATATATATATATATATATATATGTGTGGTGAAGGAATAAATATACATAAAATTTTGTTTGACAATTTTTTGGTAATTTACAAAAAAAAAACAAAAAAAAAATATTCAGTTTTCGAGTTTAGACTTATATTTACATTGATTTTATAATAAAATTTTAGTATTAACTGTTATACACTGAACATTTTACAACTTTTCGCAGTTGTATTAGAAATATAGGTATTATTGCTTTCATTTTATGGTTTATTGATTAAATACGCGATTTTAATGCCCTGGGTGCAATTGAATTTCAGATTTCTGAATAACAGTATCGATTAAGAGTCAATGGTCAAAGTGTATATGAACGTATATAAGTTTAAAACGTATAACAAGTTAATAAGTATGAGCTACCATGAAGTAGGGGCTTTTATTTTTAAAATTTTGAAAAAAATAAGATGTCGTTGCTGATTTCAATATAATAAATTATTATAAGACATAACAGTAATACTAATATAATACATAATATTAATTAAGCAAGAGACTGGTGGGAATTCTCATACCCTATCTGGTGGTAAGGTATGTTGATTTTGAGTTTAAGAATGTTTTATATGTGTATGTATACGTATGATAGATTTCCAATTGTGTTGTAATAATAATAGTGGTGCCAATACTTCAAATAAAACTGTATCATGGTTGCTTCACCCCAGTAGGATCGTTATGAGACTGCAAGTGTTAAAACTTAACTCTTTCTCTCTCTCGGCATCAACTCTAAATATTTTTCCAATACCTAAAAATTTTCAAAGGTTATAAATTTTGGCTGGTTTTTTTTTAAATAATATTTTAATAGGTATACCATCAGTATTTTGTATATTATCACAAGAGCAGTAAAATTTGAGGCACATATAATATAAATGTATAGGTACGTTTATAATTTACATTCATATAAAACAAGATTTTATTTAAAAATTCCATATTCATTAAACAAAAAAAAAAATGTGAACCTACATAATTTTTTATTTAAAAATTTTAATAAAAAACCAAAAATAAAACAGGTAAGCAACCCATTTAATAGAGTCGTTAACAGTATATGTGACTTTTATATTTTGTAATAAATATAAAATGGAAATATTTTACATTTATTTTTTTCAAACCTCAATAGCTATATAGCGGATAATATAAATGGTTATTTAAAAGTGATACTTTTAATGTAAAAAGATTTATTTTTGACAAGTAAACATTTGTATATGTATATTGTCTTCCCCTAAATGTATGCAATGGTATGTATACGAAAAATATATGGTAAAGTAATAGGGAATTAGGAATTAAAATGTGATAATTTAAAATTGGTAAATATTTCTGGAGTACGGGTTGTGTCGCAAAAACCATTTCTATAGAAGCTGCCGCAATTAAGATGGTACAGTATGAAATTTACGAACAGAAAGGGCAAATGCTATTATGGGCTTATTATTTCGTTCGGACTTTGGATTTACGGATTACAAATGTAAAAGATTTCAATTGAATTTTAAATTGTTATAGAAATCTATTGGTGTTCCATTGGTCTACCTATCTAATCTTGCACTGAAGGAGGCTACATAAATCTAACTTAATTCAATTTAGTGTATAGACTTTTAAAAATGCCAATTCAATTAATAATTCATTTAATAAATTCAATTAATAAATGCCAATTCAATTAATAAATTCAATTAACTTTGTAAAATTTTAAAATTTTCAGTTCCGTTTTCAAAATTGGAGAAGTAGAACAACTTTTCAAAAATGCATCCGTTGATCCCTTGTTAATTAATATTTTTATTACAATTTACTTTATATTTTTTAAAGAAATTTTACTAAACTTCATGATAATATACACAATCATATATTAAAAACGTGTAAAAATAAAAATCTATTTAATCCTTATTCTGATCTTTTGGTCTATTTAAATTAATTAGTAATATTATTATATGTATTTAATAATAATAGTAATAATAAAAATAAAAGAAATAAAAATATAAAGAAAAGGATACACTATTAACATCAAAAAAATTTCTTAGATTTTCACCTGGAATGTTAAGGTGTTAAAGATAATCTAAAATGAAATGATGAAGACAAAAGACTTGGAATAGAAATAAAAATGTTCGTAGAGAACAGACACACATGCTTTTACACCAATATAAATTTATTAAATAATATTAGATATTAGAGGTATGTAGGATAGTAATTTCATTCTATTTATAATTAATAGTCAGGACTAATAATTTTTTTTTTTGTTTTTCTTCTATGAAATTCTATGAAAATGAAATCTGTTAATTCCTAAAATTTTTCTTTTTTTGTTTTTATACATCACTTATTTATTCTTGGTGATAACTCTTATTTCTCATAATATATATGTAGATATTCTTATGTAATTATATCGTTTATTATATGTGCAATATAAACCAGGCAAGAACAACTTTTACAGGATTGTGGGCCAGATTACATTCGCAGATTACATAAAATGACAGCTCAAAATAGTAAGCACCAAATGAAATCGAATTTTATTATCAGTTATAGCGATAAGTATATACAACTAGAGAGCACTATTCTACTCCCCCTTTTAGCTGTCACACCTAAAACATCACCTCGAGACCTATCCTTCTGACAAATTCAAGTACCTTGTGGGGAACGAATTTTCTCGCAGCTCTCTTTCTGCTAACCTAACTATTCAGTTGGTTAGCAGAAAAAGAGCACTCTTTGAGAAGGTTTATCGAAGTCGTCGCCATTTCCCTAAAGAACCTGCAAGTATTCTCACCTTTCATAACCCTTGAGTACGTAAACTAGCCTGACTAATCCACTATTGTTCTGAAAAGTTTTCACGAGTAACATAAAAATAATCATGTGGAATGGATCTGACCATTAGCTCATAGGTTGCACATATCTATCATATACATACACACATGCAAATTGTGAATGATAATAATAATATGTTTCTATAATATGGGAATTGCTTAAGTCGCGTAAATCCTTAATAATAAATCTTCTTAATTGAATTTTCCTTAAGTTTTGTTAATATTATTTCTTGTTTCTTTTTTTTTGTCAGTTGCTGTGTGTGTGTGTGGCTTCATTTTTGAATGCTGTTAATTTGAAACAATGTTATTTTTATGATAGTAAAAATGTATTCATTAGATTATGACCCGGTAACCAGAGAAATTTTTTGTTTGCCTAAAGAATTAATTTAGTGGTACCCACTTATATACCTATATAGGAATATCTAAAATATGTTGTTAATAAATATATTTATACATTAAATCATATAATATGAATCTTCGATACTACGTTACAGAACGATATTGTTAAGATAAAGATATAAAAGTTTTAAGGAATATAATTTGTAAGGATAATATGTTAGAAGAAAAGATGAGTTATTTTGATTTAAAAAAAAATTCATATTTATAATATTAAGAATTTGTTTTCACCCAAAAATGGTATGTAATAGATTATATAAGATTATGTTATTTTGGAAAGAAGAAAATTTTTGAGAATTAGTTTCTTTTATATGTGAAAATATTTATAAATTATGGAATTATGCAAGTATATTGGTACTATGGCAATTATATTATCACATATTAATGATGCTTGCGTATATGAAGTAATTTCTGCATAAAATGTTTTTAAAGAAAATGAAGTTTTAAAGAAAATTATTATAACACAATATCTGTAATATGTATGTATAAAATGTATAGGAAAATAATGTTGAGCTTTCCGAGTGGGAACGCAAGGCTTCAACAAATCCTTTGAGTAGCACTGTGTTTTGGGCTAGCCACTTTATTTCTGACTAATATTTTCTATTGGATTAGGCCTTCTTAAGTATGGTTATTCGCTATATCTGACGGGGTCTACTCACCTTCCTTGTGGATTCCAATCTAATACCCGCCTGATTATCGTATTATATGGCCTCCGTAACGTGTTGTTCAGATCAGCTGTCGTTTGTGCATTTTTGTCTATTTTGTTGTGGATTCTTCTCTCATCCCTTTTTGCTAGAAATTCTTATAGTGTAGTATTCTTGTTTCTGGGTTGTCATTTTGTTGGAGTTGTCTGCAGAGCTCACGCTAGACCTATATTTTTTCCTCAGTCTCATTCGATATCCTCGTTTTCTGCGCCTAATACGACCTCACCTATTTGTTTGTGTATACAGGGTGTCCGGGACTCAATGGTATTCCCGAAGCAGGGTGATAGAATACATGCAGACGAACAAAAAACACCTAGTGACATTTTCCTTTTTGGGCCCTTGTTCTCGAGTTATGGGGCCTCAAAGTTGGAACATCCAAAAACCGGCTTATTTTCACATTTTTATTTATAACTCGGGAAATGTGACAGGTAAATCCAATCTTGTACACTCGTTTTAAAGCTAATGAAATACTCATTCTAACGGTTTACCAGCGGTTGCAAATACTTTTTTAGTTTCAGAGATATTTAAGTGCAAAGTCAAAATTTGTTAAAAATTTTTTTTTTAAATTTTCGTTTAACCGTCATTTACTCATAATTCCTCGTTATCAACCTATAATTTTTTTTACAGGAAGACGAGCCCTATATTCTGACCTTCATTTTGATATGACATAATGTGGGAAAAATTTTAGAAATAACATGTCTATCAGGCGAAAACTGAGGCCAAAACCTTAGAAAATTAACTAAAACAACGTATTTTTCAAACAAAAACAAATTTTTTTAATCTTTATTACGCAGTATTATGCATTATTAACTTGTACTTTTTCTTTTCCAAAACGAAAGACATTTGCATTACCTTTTTTTCTCCACAAAATATTTCCAAAAGTTTCAGGAATATCGTGTCTACGAGGATCAAATTTATAAAAAAATTAGTTATAATCGATAAATTAGTTATAATCCAAGTAATGTTCACCCTCTGATCATCTGCGTATTTTGATATTACATATTCTAAAAATCCAATTGTTGATCTTCAGGTATAGTTAATGTGGAAAATTTTAATTTTCATATTATTTACAAGAACGTTTTTTTGTAAGTAAACTTCTTTTTTTTTATATCCATATATCCTTATAATAATACTTTTACTAATACTTTTAATTGGTACTTTTAATATTCTTATTCACATGAAAGTAGAGTTAGTAAGTATTTTAGTATTCTTAATCAGAAAAAAAAATTAAATACTTTTTATCATAACTACATTGGACCCTATTGCTCCAACCACTTTTCGCTTTTATTTAAATCAACTTAAGTATCAAAAAAATTGCAAAATTTCTGTTGCATCAAGATTTAAAACACTAATGAACTTCACCTAAAAAAAAGTACTTTTAATTTTGATTCATATTATTTAAACTATTATTAAGGGTATGAAATAGAAAAATTTGTATAAATAGCATTTTAGTTAATTTTGATCACTTTAATTTGGCTTTCCTAATAAAAAACACTCTTGTAAGTAATAAGAAAATTAAAATTTTCTATATTACCTACAGGTGAAGATTACTAATTACATTTTTCGAATAATAACAAAACACAAAGAAGGTTAAAGGGTGAATATTTCTTGGATTATAACTAATTTATCGATTATAACTAATTTTTTTATAAATTTGATCCCGGTAGACACGATATTCCTGAAACTTTTGGAAATATTTTGTGGAGAAAAAAAGGTAATGCAAATGTCTTTCGTTTTGAAAAAAAAAAGTGCATGTTAATAATGCATATACTGCGCAATAAAGATTAAAAAAATTTGTTTTTGTTTGAAAAATACGTTGTTTTAGTTAATTTTCTAAGGTTTTGGCCTCAGTTTTCGCCTGATAGACATGTTATTTCTAAAATTTTTCCCACATTATGTCATATCAAAATGAAGGTCAGAATATAGGGCTCGTCTTCCTGTAAAAAAAATTATAGGTTGATAACGAGGAATTATGAGTAAATGACGGTTAAACGAAAATTTAAAAAAAAAATTTTTAACAAATTTTGACTTTGCACTTAAATATCTCTGAAACTAAAAAAGTATTTGCAACCGCTGGTAAACTGTTAGAATGAGTATTTCATTAGCTTTAAAACGAGTGTACAAGATTGGATTTACCTGTCACATTTTCCGAGTTATAAATAAAAATGTGAAAATAAGCCGGTTTTTGGATGTTCCAACTTTGAGGCCCCATAACTCGAGAACAAGGGCCCAAAAAGGAAAATGTCACTAGGTGTTTTTTGTTCGTCTACATGTATTCTATCACCCTGCTTCGGGAATACCATTGAGTCCCGGACACCCTGTATATATATTGTATGTTATTTGCATTTATATTTCTTGTTTTTTCTGTTATTTTTGATATAAATTTCCACTTTATATTTCTGCTCTTCCGTTGGTGTATAACAATATTTTTCGTTCTTGTGGATGTATTTTGAGCCCTTATAGCCCCGGGTTTTATATGTAAATCTGTATTTATGTATTGCATAAAAAATTTAAATAATCTGAATTATTCTGAGAACCGGACCACATCAATAAAATCACCAGAAACACATAGTTTGTTTGTAGATTGATTAATTATCGTTGAATACAATTTTCCATTTTCCAAAAATATGTATATGTGGGTAAAGTTGACATCATATATTAGCTTCAGTATCAATCTAGCATTCAGTATGATGGGTTTATTACATACGAAAAATTTAATTTATTGGTTGTTGAATCAATGTAAATTTATACTTCCTTCACTAGATGGGTTACTATTAGTTATACTTCCTTCATTAGAGGCAAACCCTTTCATGGCTTGAAACAGAATACTTTTTTGCTTTTTATTCTTATGACGTACCTAGAACAGAAATATTCATTAGATGCGATTAATTAATGATTAACACTCAAAAATTAAATGAAAAATAACTGCTCAAAAATTAAATGAATCGAAGATGTATACTTTTCACGTTTTTCGTGTTTTTTAGAACAGATAATTTCATTTTAAATATATTCAATTATTCCATATTTGGATTTTAGAAAGCTAAATTTCACTTTCATCGTTATTTCCACAAATTCTGAATTTCAGAACACCGCTTAATTATGTTAATTATGTGTAAAATATATACGGTGGCAACTGATGTAACCAAAATTTATGGTCATAAAGATTCAGGCTTGCATGGATTCGTATACCGACATCTTATGGAATTATATGATTTCTCCAGAATTAAGTAGATATAGCAATTGCTCAACAGATATTTTTTAGGTCACGCTGCATCAACTCTCCAATTTGCTGTCTAGAATCTCCAAAAACTAAAAAATTATAATGTAACATTTTCAGAAGATCCGGGTTTTTTTTTTCTGAAAATCATAAAAATTTATAAATAAATTACAAACTTTTTATTATATAATTGATAAACATTATTTAAAAGTCAAATAAAAATTTTACTTACCTATGTGCCATTTAATCTTGTCAAAATTATCTTTTAAAAACAGAAAACCTTGAGTCTATAATCTACATTCATTTCTCTCTTTATAATTAGTAAGATACGTGTGTATATGTACGTAAGAAAAATTATAGTAATCAATTATTTAGTTTTGCGTGTATTAAGAGAAAAATACTGAAATTTAATAGTTACGCATTAATATTGTCTTCTTAAGAAATTAAATATAGGTAAATGTTTGTAATATTTTGTAATAAATTTCTTTGTTTTTTTATTCTTTTATATTATTATCTAAATATTTTAAGTTTCCGAATTCTTTCTTTAAGACTTTATATATATGTATATGTACGTATGGTACTGAACACGCAAAGGTGACTTATCTAAATGTTAGAGGGCAGAAGTTTATTAGAGAAAACTCAATGTATATGTATGTGCATGAAATGTTTTTCTGTATATGTATGTATTTAATTTGCCTATAGGAAAGAGTTTCGTTTCTTTTACTGTTTGAGAATATTATTTTTATACCCTGCATCTTCATGAAGGGTATATTGTATTTGGTATGGAGTTTGTAACCACTTGAAAGAGTCATCTGCGGAATGGACATATTCTTGCTCATCGTAAAATTTTGAGTTAATTTAGACATGTCTGTCCGTCCTTCCGACCGTCCTATCGTATGATAACTCAAAGACGAATAAACCCAAACTGTCGCAAGTTGCTGGTTCTGTGCCAAGGATGGACCCAATTGTAAATAGACTAATTTGGACAACGGGTTCGGGTGGCTGCCATACAACTCCAAAAGCAAATTTTAAATACTTGGAAAAACAAAAGTCAAATTCATACAATTGAACATTCGTATTCGAGCAGGATAGTTCAGACATATCCGTGAAGTTCCTATAAAATGGTTTCACAGGTTCGAGTAATTGCTATACAACAATGAAAGATACAGGGTATAACTCAATTGGTTTATACCGACTAAAACGTTTTTATTTGTTTTTTTCTTAATTTTATTCCTTAAGGTACAAAAATAAATACAATCATTGTGTTTTTGAAATATTAATTAAAAAAACATATTGTAGATCAAAGAAACATTAAATACCAAAAATATTATTCTTATACACTGTATAATTTTTTCAAAATAAAAATGCATTATTTAAGGGTACGAGATATACATATGTATGTGTGTATAGAAATGAGTTGTTGACATGAAATGTGTTGTTTGAGTGCAGTAATTAATTTTTAATTGGAATTTGAATTTATGTTATTTTTATTTTAGTTTGAAGTACTCATTGAAATCAATTTGTGGATTTAATCAATTAATTTCTTTAAATTATTATGAAACATTGGTTTATTTACTCGAAAATTATTATAAATATTTATATAGCAATGGAAAACTGAAAGAATGCTGCAGGGTTTCCATATACTAAGGAGATTATTTTACATTAAAACAAGAAGCTTTTGAAATTACACAGGAATTGGGTATTAATTCTCACGGATATCTTATGGAGTACAGACACTTTCATCTCATTTATAGTGTAGAAGAAGATGCGTTACAACTAATTTGAATATGCCATTTTGTCGGAAACTTCATGGCGAAGTGGATTTCTTTGCTTTTAATTTTAATCTATACATGTATAATAAAAATATGACTGAAATTATGGTATACAGCCCGTAATTTAATTTGATCTTGTGAAATTAATATAATATGACTTTGTTTTTCATAAAAAATATAACAATATAATTTTCATAAATCTATTGTAGAATCCATTAAAACTTGTAATAATATAAATTTAATTTAAT